ATATATATATATATATATATATATATATATATATAGTTCTGTTCTTTTTTACTGAATCTCAATTCCTCTATTTTTTCTGGCTTGAGTTACAAAAAACAAGAATATTGTAGAATTAGACTAAACTAATTAGAAAAGTGAAAATCTTGGCACTTTAAATGTTAAAATTCTATGTGAAATTGTTCAAATAGCTGTAAGGGTATTTTTATGTTTTTATTATCAGTTTTGATATTTTAATTGCCAAGACTACTTAAGGGTCGGAATATTTTATTTGCCTAATTGAGGTCATTTTGTATGCTGATGGAAACTGAAGATAAAATTAATTTCCTTAAAGCTGATTTTTTTTTTATATATAATTTTTTGAAAAAATTTCTCTTGCATCATAGTGTCTAAGTTGCTCAACAGCTGATGTGTTGTTGTAGAGTCTGGGAAGCTGATAACATGGGGTTCGACTGATGATGAAGAACAAAGCTACTTGACTTCAGGGAAGCATGGGGTAATGCCAGTGATCCTCTAGTTTCTTGAGTGGATTGTTTAGTCTAGTTTTTGAATTGATGGATCTTGTTTCTTGCGGCATTTTGTTTAGGAAATTCCAGAGCCATTCCCTCTTCCAACTGAAGCTCCAATTGTGAACGCTGCTGCTGGCTGGGGGCATTGTGTTGCTGTTACAGGTATATTTCTCCTGTATTTTGGAGCATGCATGAAAACAAGTCTTTAATTTCTCTCTGTTGTGTTGATTTTATAAAAAATCTTAACTGACTTTTAAATGTTAAAAAACAGATGCTGGTGAAGTTTATACATGGGGATGGAAGGAGTGTGTGCCCTGTGGAAATGTCTCCCATGATTTGGTTAGCAGCGGGAGCTCCCAAAAGGATATTGTTGGTAAACAGAACATTTTACCAACCGAGCAAGGTGATTTCTTTGAAAGCTTATATCTCTGTATTACAGCAGCAGAGCAGCACTTTAATTATTTTTATCTAATTTTAGGACCTTTGAATTTGTTGCAGTGAGCCCAAGGTCTCGGGGTTCAAACGTAAGTGTTGGGGTGGTTTCTCAACCAGAGAACCGAAAAGCTGGGGAAGAAATGATAAAGAAGAGAAGAATAGCTGCATTAAAAGAAGAATCTGAAGGCTTAACTTGTGGAGATGAATTATTCACGGTATCGCCTTGTCTTGTGACTCTGGGTCCTGGAGTGAGGATCACCAGTGTTGCTGCTGGCGGGCGGCACACTCTAGCACTGTCAGGTAATTGTAAATAAAGTAACAAACTTCATCTTGGGTCTGTCAGCCTGGACAGTTGAGATTGTCAGGTGAAACTGTCACCTCTTGTCGTCACACTATATAGTTTTGTAGGTTGTTTGAAGTACGAAGATATGGAAGATTTTTGATCTAAAGCGAGACTCCTGATGCATCATATTTTTGCCGGAGTTTCAGATGTGGGACAGGTGTGGGGCTGGGGTTATGGAGGCGAAGGACAGTTGGGGTTGTCTTCCCGGATAAAAATGGTGTCCTCACCTCATCTCATACAATGCATTGAGCCACCTACTTCCAGGAAAGATAGTCCTTTAGTAGTTCAGCAAGGAGACCTAAACTCACCAATACAAGTCTCTAAAGCAGTTGGAAGCTACATAAAAGGAATTGCTTGTGGAGGTCGACATAGTGCTATAGTAACTGGTAAGCATTTGATGGTTGATTTTCTTGTCATTATGTTGCTTGTTTTTTTGGATTCTTCTGACACAACGGAGAAGATGCAAGATTATTTCATAATGATAGGATCACAACCTATGCTAAGATAAAATGGGTTTACAAGTTCTTACATATATTTCTTTCTTGATTCGCTGCAAGTCAATTTTACAAAGCTTCAGTTGCATTCTTGATTCATTTCGCTAATAGCTGATAAGGATGTTAACATATTATTTATCAACAATTATAGATACTGGAGCACTACTTACATTTGGCTGGGGACACTATGGACAGGTGAGCAAATTCCCATTTCCAAAACTTTCATTGGGGAGTGGGGTGGGGGTAAAAAGCCTGCTTCATTTTTATACTAAACAGTGGTTTCAAGCATAGAAATGGCCACTGCTTTTAATGCAAAAATGGATTCATCTTAAAGGAGCAGACCTAAATGTTTTGTGTGTTAATTCAAGTTTCATTTGGTTGTTAAGCTAAAGCTGTTGTACCTTACCCGGTAATATATTTTCATACAGTGTGGCCAAGGAACTACTACTGATATTCTGAGACCAATGTTTGTTTCTTCTTTATCGAGCATACAAGTAGAAAGAGTTGCAGCTGGGCTATGGCATACTCTCTGTATATCTGTTGATGGCCGTGTATATGCTTTTGGTGGAAATCAGTTTGGACAGTTGGGAACTGGTGCTGACCAGCTTGAGGTACATGTGGTTTGGAAGGCTGTTATATTTCTTGGTTGATATAGATTCCCCCAGGACCTTCAAGATATGAAGAGGGTATATATGATCATTACCTAGAGTCCTAGAGGATAGGATTGGCAGTGTCTTCCATGTTTAACAGTAACATAGAAACTAGCACTGGGCACTGACCCGGTGACCCTCGGCCTTATGGTACTCTGCGAATTAGCCATTAACTAAATATAAACAAACCTTGAAATAACTGAATTTTCATGTATTTTTTAACTTATGCTGTCAAATTTAAGCATGTTAATGGCAAAGAGATTCTCATGATTTTTAATGTTGTCTGAAGTAGTTTTGATGAAACAACTTAGCCTCTTTTTGGTGCACCTGCTTCAGACGTTACCAAGGCTATTGGATGCTCCAGTTTTGGAGGGCAAGCACGCAAAAACTGTATCATGTGGAGCTCGGCATAGTGTGATGCTAACAGGTATGACTTAAAAACTGATATTAAGTGTCATTCAGGTATCGGTAAATGAATCAGCCTAGTCAGTTTCAACTGGTTTTCTGGCTGACATTCTATTGGAGCAATTTTGTTTAATGATCTGGAATCCTTGGATGTAGTGCTAGCAGCATTTAGGGCATAGTTGTATTTGATATGAGATTGATGTTTTACCGTTCGGCCTGATTCATTGGTGCAAAGGGTTAAAATATTTAATGCCTTAGACTTAAGAACATTTTTTTGATATTTTCTTTGACAATGCATCTTGTTTTCACATTCAAGATGATGGCGGAGTACTTAGCTGGGGATGGAACAAGTATGGGCAGGTATGACTTCCTCACCTTCCGATTTGATATTGCCATTCCGGGCCATAGATTAATTGAAAATTCTTCTTTGCCTCCAGCTTGGTCTAGGTGATACAATTGACCGTAATGTTCCTTCCCAAGTTCCCATTGAAGGTTGCCTGCCAAAAGATGTTGCGTGTGGTTGGTGGCATACGTTACTACTGGCAGAAACACCTCCCTGAGTCCCAAATTCTTTTGACAAGGGGTGACAATTTCGGTAAAATGAGGATGTCTGACAGCTCAAGAGTCCACAATGCATTATTCATCTCTGGATATTCAGTGTACACAAAGTTCTGTGCATATGCATGTAAGCATGTGCTGAATTCTTTTAGCAACTAATTTCACATCACGATGAAAGCTTCATTAAACTCTATACACAGACAATGAGTGCTGCTACTGCTACATTAGATGTCTAGTAGGTCTGTTATTACACCGCCTAGCAATGCAATGATATATGTGATTATGAATGTGCAATTCCAGGTTTTCATCAAAGATCATGCCAATCCATCTTATCTCACAGCACATGATATCTTGCTGGAAACTGGATTTCTTCGCCGTTGCAAAAGCTGCATCAGAGGCCAAAAGATATCCAATCTGTGAAATCCTCTAGAGGCCTGCATGCATCACAATTATGTCTCAAATAATTGCCAACTAAACATGATGTTAAAGTAAGAATAGGAACTTCAAGCAATACCGTACCTCAACAATGAAATGAGCCCATGTATTGTTCTCAGAGCTTTCCATCACACCTTTCAGGATTGTCAAATTGAAACTTCGAATCACTTGTGCAATTTCCAAGAACATTCCCTGCTCGCTGCACAGCATCTGCAGCAGGTATGGTTTATTAGCAAAGAAATGTACCAATATTTCTCTTTCAAAAAAAAAAAAAAAAAGGTGGTTAAACAGCAGAGAATATGGCACACCTCTATGAGCAAGTGACCCGGGTATGGAAGATCTTCCACAACAATGGGACAAACTTGCATTTCACCACCAATTTCGAAAGCCCAACTAGTCCCCTTTTGGTGTCCATCTTTGGTTTCAAGTGATCTCAAATTCTTGCGCCCAGCCACCTAAAAAAGAATCTCATTTTCAGCACACCATTTCTGAATGTTGAATGTACTTCACTATGTTAAAAAATCACTCTACATTTAGCTTATTTTACTTTTATGCCAAGGTTCTTCAACAGAAGAAAGATGAGACTTATAGTTTATACTCAAATGATCCTATTACTTTGTGAGACAGTATTTCATGTTACGTGACTGGTAGTGATAGGCTGATAGCCATTTGGGAATTATTTATTCATATACAAAGAGTGGCAAGAGAATTAATATAAGTATTGATTTGCTAGGGAATAACTTCCCTCAAAAAGTCTAGACACCACATACCTCCTGATGTACCCACTGTCTCAATTTTTCAGCCTGGTTTGTCATGCTTCTTAAATACAGCATGTGTTTTATGGTTTGATCCAGAAGACCGTCAATGCTACACTGGATTTGTAACAGTAGGAAAGGCCAAACTTATTAGCTCAGGAAAGGGGGCAAACGCATATCAGGACCATAGGAAATGCTGCATAACCATGAGAAAATATACTCACCTTTGCTCCATTTGGCACAAGGTCCCTTAGCTCTTTAACCCGATCCTGGATCAGCTGTCTGTCCCTTGGTCTTGGCCTTTGGCTATCAGCAGGTCTGGTCCTTCTTTTGCTGATATTAGGTGGTTTTGTGCCTTTTCTGGGTTGCGTATGATGGTTTCCATTTTGAAGCTGCTCTCCATCAATTAGTGTGCTCACTGTGCTATTCAAAGAAGGCGAAGATGCAGCATTAAAATCATTTTTGGCCTTGGAGACAAATGCAGATATAGCTTGATGAGTGGGATGTACTTCCATCCTTGATCTTGGAGATCGAGAAGTCACAGCTTTATGCCCTGTTGATGCTATGGATGACTTGACTCCACTGGATTCATTAGAAGAAGTGTCCTCTGTGCCACTATATCTGTTAGCAACCACAGCTTGCAACAGGTATTCTGCATCATCTCCTTTAATTGATGATGAGGGTTCAATGCCACCAGCAAGATCTCGGTGTGTAGCTTTGCTGTGTGCATCCTCACCTAAGGTAGACAAGTCACATAAATATTCATTGCTCTGTTTTTGAAAAGCTGGGCCAAGTGCTTTGTGTAATTCACAGTGTTTGGGAAAGCTAAAGAAGCTGCTCCAAGCTTCAAGATCCACATCATTAATATTTTTTTCCCCAAAAGGTTCTTCCGCAAAATCTTTAGTATGGTTAGAGTTCATAATTCCAGTGAGAAAATCTCCATACTCATCAAGACTGTAATTGTTAGATGCAAGATACATCAGTAAGTCTTCTTCAAGACACGACATACCAAACAGTTTGCTCTCCATCTCTGGCTGGCTAGCCTTCATTGACTGGCTTGGTGGTGAGGATACTTCTCTGCTACCAAAATTAGGTTCACTAGCACTTACAAGATTCTCAGTCAGATTTTGTCCAGTGAACAGAGGTGGATTCTGAAAATCTAGCAGCGTTACAACCTGATCTGAAGTTAGCAGTCTAACACTGTTTGGTTTGACACTGTCAACAGCCCTGGAATCTTCAGATTTATGTGGACTAGTGGATGTAGTCGATGATTCATCCAACTTCTCTACAAGGCTACTTATTAATGGCGATAATGATTGAGCCTGAACATTCCTGTTGAAGGATAAAGATGTGGTATTTCCTCCAGCAGTGTGATGTGTAAATCTATCTTTGACATAAGAAATGACTGCTAGATCTTCAGGAACCTGTTGATGAGGAGAAAATGCAAATAAGATAAATACTGACAGATCATCACGTATTGTGCAACTACAACACTAAAACCCACCAATTGCCTTAACAGGCATGACTACTACTTGTTCAGGCACACACATACATAGACAGAGAGTGAGAGATTTTCTATTCAGAAGCATACACATTATCCTACTTGGGGAAGGAATATAGGTATGTCAGCTATATGCATCATCAACTGAATGATTGCTTGGTTTCCAAGATGATCACTTCTGGATGTCATGAGTTTGAAATCATCCTAACTAACATTAAGTATTCAGTCTAAATCACTAAAATCAAGAAAGATATAGAAAGACGTGTGCTAACATAGGAATGGTAGGCATTAGATTGTTATTGGACTTCCATGATATTATTACAGCCAACAAGTTGAGTTCAGAACAAATACACACCATCTCCAAAGAACCAAGCTGCAGAACTCCATATGGAAGCACAGGTATAAGCACAATAATCTGCATGAACATCAGAAACAAATCAATGAATTATCAATCTCAAGGAACAAAAATATGAAGAGCACATTATTTCACACTCATCAGAACTACATTAACATGCAAACAATCTCAAGAACTGAATGTGACCTGTCAGAAGGGTGAACTAGAGAAAAAGTTACCTTGATTCCTGACATGAACTGAAGTAGCCATTCCTCTGGACACTGAAAATGGAAAAAATAGCACTCATGATGCATGTTATCTACCTTTAGAAGAAATCCAAACATCAGTTACAGGCAGTTCTGGAAACTCACCTGAGCAAATAACCTAGAGTCATCTTTGCCCAAAATATCATCATAGGAAACCCAGCAATGCTTCCCTGTCTGCGCTACTTTACCAATAACCCTGGTGAAAGTTAAAAATCCAAAAAACTAGAAGATTAATCAATAGTAAAAAACTTCCTATCTTTATAGCCTAGAACACCATTCTTAGCAGATAGAAAGCACATATTGGTAATAACCAGAGTCAAGAATAGGTCTTTACCCTTCACCCCATGCATACTGGAGATTTGACATATTAGCTACAAGTAATCCAATCGGATAACCACCAAGACCACCATCAAGGAAGTTAGATTCACAACAGGAAGAAATTATGTCACTGGCGTGATTAGAATAGATGCCATATGACATGCTTTCGACTGGTTCTCTTGGTCCAGGGTAAACACAATACCCATCTTCCCAGGTCAAAATCCTGAAATAAGTACAAAACTAAAATTTAACTGATGTCCAAGTAGAGAAATTAAACCATATTCTATGTCCATGGTTTTCCTATAATCCTATCAAGGAACAAGATAACAGGTACAGCAGCAAGCATCATAAAGGAAAGAAAGAAATAAGTACACAACATATCACAATTTTTTTGTTAAAATTGTCAAAATTTCCATGAAACAATTGAATCAAAAAGAAACTTACAACGGGCTCCAATGCCTAAGCTTCCAAAGCACTGCATATTTCCAAGGTGAATTGCTGCACAGACTCTTCAACAACTGTCTCAAAGCAGTAGTACCCATCTTCAATCGTTCCAACTAAATCACAGAAGTATATATTACACTAAAAAAAACCCAAATTATGTCTACAATTTACCCTAACTACCTCTGTAGGATCCCCGCCCCGCTTGTTTAATTCTTAGCCCTGCTCTTCTTTTCCTCGGTGGCCCCTTTGAAAAAACCAGCAAAAATCCCATAGCTGACACCCCCTCCCTCACCAAAATCTAGCAACTATCACAACCCAAAACAGCGTTCCTGATAATACAACAGAAAAACGCAGCAAAATGCAACATAAAACTCCATTTCTTCAACCACCAGTAACTAACCGGATATGTACCCAATTCCAACCAAAGAAAATTCTGAAAAAAGACCCAGTATTCTAAAGGACCCGATATTTAATTTGTGCAGGAACTGCAAGGAAAATCAACAGATAATCTGAAGTCAAAATCGGAACTTTACTGTGTGTTAGCTCTTCCTGATTGATAACTTTAACGAGGATGATGATTATACCTGAAAGGAATTAAAGGTATCGGGATCAGAGAATTGGGAGATGTTCGAATTCGTTGGATTCCATTGTCAAGCTCAGTCTTAATCCTTCTCCCTGTAGAAACCGATATGAACAAAATCAAAGTGAGAGAGACGAGTGGCAATTCTGCTTTTTCCACTCAAAAGATATGCTCCATTGCTCCGAACGGCTTTAGCCACCTTTACTTATATACTACTACTTTGGCCACCGGCCACTTGCCTTTCCTTAATTTATTATTGGATTTTTCTAAATTTATTTAAAATGCAAGTTAAAAGTATATTCTTCTCATCAAATTTAATAATAATTTTAATATTATTATCAAGTAAATAAATTTAATTAAATAAATAATACATTTGAACCAAATTTTCGAATTTAGTGGTTTAACTCCAAACTTTAAAATACTTGAATTTAGTTAGTTGAGAT